ACAGTCTGGAGGAGTAGAATTAAAACCAGTTAGCTTTTGCATTGCAAATCTCCATGATGTCCACTTATATTAAATGGCATATCTGTTTTTAAATCTCTCTTTCAATTAATTTCCTTCAATAGAAAATGTCTGTTTTGGCATCTCCACAAAGCATGCATTGTCTTGTTTTGTATTTCACTGTAACCCATGACTATGCTTCCCACCAAACCAGGCTGGTTCTGTGGCTGCTTTGTTTCTGCTTTGTTTCCCAGTAAGACAATGGTCCCATTAACAGATGACTCTGCACTTCTGTTGTGTTGTTGGTCAGGCTCCTGTGTCCTCACAGGGGTCATTCTGACAGATCTGCACACCAATGGCAGTGTGCAACAACAAGTTTGGATAGTTAGCTTCATGGAAACCATCCATGGAATGTTGGGGGTGTTGGAAAAAAAATGCATTAAATAACTTTGGGACTTTCTCAGTGATATAAAAAAAACAACCTTTGATAGCTTGCAGAAGTAGATGAAATGTCGGAAATAAAATATGAAAAAGATCTCAACGGAAGTCCTGCATTTTCTGCTTTAGATTTAGTATAACAGATACTTCAAAACTTGCTTGATAGAAACTTAAAATCATAATATGAATAAACTCTACAATCACTTAATTGGAATTATTATTGTTTTAGAAACTACTTGTGAAAAGTGTGTTTAAAGAGGCTTAAGTTAAATAGATTTTAGTAGAATAAAATAAAATCTCTTCAGATTCCCTGTGTAGAGCTTTGATTGTCCTGTTTTGTTCTGTCCTTGCGGTTTTTAGGTATGTGACCGTCTGTACCCCCTATCACCAGACACCCCGGTGCTACTGGCTAACTCTGGCATCTACATGTTCCCTGACTTCTTGGCAGAGTTACCCGGCTCCTATGTGGGTTTAGTGTTGTCCTCTGAACTCCCTGTGGCGGACTGTGAGATGTTTCAGGATGTTCTAACACAACTCGCTGATCTCAGGATCCAGGTAAGTCCTAACTAATTTATGCTGAATAAAAAAGAACCTTGAATTAATATGAGTTACCACAATATTTAGGGAATCAATATTTTACTAATTCCCTTTGGGATCAGTAAAATATTTTGTAAGTATTTATAGTCTTCTTTTTGCAGATTGAATAGTTCAGCTTCCTAAAATTATGACATTTTAAAGGTGAAGAAAGTTATCTGTATATTTATGTAAACAAACTGATAAAGCAAGCAAAAATTTTTAGATCATACAGGTATCTTAAAGAAACAACATTGTCTTAAAGCTCACCATTAAGAATGGAACTTTGACCTTTTTGACAGGGAACAGAAGGAGCGGAAGGAGAGGTCATGAACTTGACTGATAAAATTCCCTTGAGTCCTCCGCATGAGCAAACAGATCAAATGGTACCAGAGGGAGAAAAGATAACACTTCTACTTCCTGGATGGAGTGAGAAGATGGCTCAAGGAATTTTGTCTGGTGGGTTTTGCAAAAAGACTCAGAATGAAAACTCAAAGAATGTCAGCACAGAGTTACACATCAGTTGATTACAGAGTGGATACTCCTACTCCGCCAGTAGGTGATGTTTACCATGACATCAGTCTAGTCTATACTTAACTGTACTTGGTGTTGGAAAAACTAAAGCTTGATGTTTTGAAACTACAATAAATAAAATCTTTATCTTTATAGGAGCTACAAAATTGAGTCAGTCATTTTCAAAAGGAGCAGAGGCAACTGGGAATATAATTCAAAAAGGAGCGGCCAAGATCCGGGACCGCATCACACCAGAGGAGACCCCATCTGAGGTCAGTCCACAGGTCACCAGAGGTCTGAATGCTACCAAACAAGCCACTGGGGGTGCTGTTCGAGTCAGTAAATTCCTAGGTAAGAGCAACCAGATTGATATTACTGATAAGGTAAAATCTATTATTCTATCCTGATCTGTAAGTATCAGTACGTTTGTACATAAATCTATTTCTTTGGTATAACTTTGTGCATTTACAGTGAATGGCATAAGTTCAATTGCAGAACATGTGGCAGAAAAGGTGGCACCTCATGTGAAGAAGCACGGTGCTAAGCTGGTCCCAGAGTCTCTGAAAAAAAGTCAGGATGGCCAGGCTTCCAACTTCGACGGAGCCAAGTTTGTAGCAGCCAGCAGCATACAAGGTATTTACTAAGTTTTAGAAGACAAGGTTAAGGAAACACAAACCCATTCAATAAACTAGAATATCACTGAAAAGCCCATGTATTACAGTAAATGTATCACTAACTGAAACACATTATTCCATTTCACACAAATGGAAGTCTGAAACCATTTATTTCTGTTAATTTAATGACTGAAAATGATAATTTTCCACTTGTGGGTAATAAAAACATGACATTTAAAATTGGAACATTATATCATATTATTAAAAAACATTTAATTCAGAATTGTGGGCCTTAATGAAAGGATTATATAATACCTGATTAAAGTTGGTTAGATTTAAGACAACAATCTGAACGCATATTCTAATTTAATGAGTATGAGTGTACACAGGGTGGTAAATTTGGACCCACAGGGTGGTTTGATATGGCTGGTGTACATTTTTAAAATTGTCTTTCAAATTAGGTTTAAGCACAGTTTGGGAAAGTCTAGAGACTGGAGCAAAGCACGTCTGCAAAAGTGTTGCAACTGAAACTGTCACAACAGTAAAGTACAAGTGAGTTGATCTCTTGACTTGATACCTCTTGAAAGCGTTTCTATGTCTTTATACCCTCCTTTTTTCTATTTGATTGCTTATTTAAACTGGGGATGTCTTTGTCAAGATTCGTTTGATATATCTGACATAATCTGTTTGTGTCATGAATAGAAAACTGACAACACGATTCTCAGATTCGTCATACAATCGATGCCTTGTAATTTTGTAAAAACTAGCTTTAAAGTATAGAAAACATTACCTCACCTCATTCACCAGCCACTTTTCAGGCACTGCACTGACAGTGTGTCAGATATTGTGTTTTTTTTAATCATTTTTCTACCCTTCTTCTTTTTCTCTTGGTTTTCTTGTGGACTGACTCTTTTTCACTGTTGTTTCTTTTCAGATTTAGGGGTTTAGAGAATCTTTTAAACATGACTGGGAAGATGTGACTTCACTGGGAAGTAAAGGTCAAATTAACAACTGATCTAATCTTGTTGTGCTTCTACTAACCCAACCCAGATTAAAGAATAACCTTACACAACCTGGAAAAGCACAAACTAAATTTGTATTTTTCGAACTAATTTGTTCACTTATAATATGCTTTTCAGAGGTCTTTTTTTGCGTTAGGCTTGCATTTTATATCCACTGTATGCTGATAGATGCAAACTGATGTCTGTTTTTATCCTTCAACTCAAATAGTTATGAATTATGTATTATAATCATTAAGCCTAAAAAACAGAAATCTACACTTGTTAAAACAAGAATTTTTGAAACTGCAGACTTTGTACGAATAAATCGAGCCTCTCCTCTAGACTGATTGTTGGTGCATGTGTGTTGCTGTAAACTACATGCCAGATTAAGTAACATCATTACATATAACACTTTTCAACATACAAAAATGTGCTAGAGTTGGTGTGTTTTACCTTAAAGCAATGTTTTGGTGTGCCTGCAACTCTGCTGTCATTTGTTTTCTTCTACCTCACTCTTTTCTCTAACACTTCCAAATTATTTATGATGAAGGTACGGCAATGATGCGGGCCAAGCCACAGATACAGCTCTCCGCTCAGTGGGCAACATTGGTTTGACTGCACATAATATTGACAATCTGGGCCTCAAAGCCTTCCTGAAGACTACTAGCAAGGAGACGGCCAAGGCCATGGTTATAGAACCTGACGAGGTAAAGGAAACTGAAGAGAATAAGATGCAAAAAGACGACCATCTCACACAATCTGAGAAGGACGTGGAGATGAAAGAGGAGGCAACAGCTAAGAAAAAGGATGTGAATAAGAAACAAGAGGGAAAGTAGAAAGAATAAATTTCTACTAGACCTAATGCTTTGTTGTCATACAGTATAAATTAATGGTGTACTTAAATTAATATATTATGGTATTAATTACAATAAACTCAATTTTAAGTGTTGTTTGAATTGGATTATACATTTATCAGAAGGTGAGATTGTGGCTGAGTGGATAGAGTATATTATGGGCTTGATTTCAGCTTCCACTGATCACATGTTGATGTACCCCTAAGCAAGGCACTTCACCTCCAATCTTTGTATTTGTGTATGAATGTTTGTGAATCTATTGTGCTTTGAGTGGCCATAATTTTGAAAAGTGCTATTGAAATTTGGTCCATTTTCTGTTTTGCCAGACAAACCTTTTCTCTAACTACTTTGGTTGAGTCAGTGATAAAATGTTATTTCTGTTATTAAACATACTTCCCAGATTGATTCTGTTTTTGTCATAATTAAATGTTTGAGATCAAATCAGTTCTTTAAGTCAAACACAACCCGAGTTGAAGTAACATTGATAGAAATTGTCTGACCAAAAGTAATTGCGCTTAAAGTAAAAAGAAATAGGCTACATTTTGATTTACATAAATTAAAAACAAAGTCAATGACATCCATCAGTTTGGAAGGGTTAAAACAGTTTGGAAGGGTTAAAACCTGTTTCTAAAGTTTTATGTTACAGAAGAAAAGCCGATTATTTCAGACGCCTGAAATATTTGATTCCCCCCATAACTTTGATAAATAAAGAGGACATGTTTCAGGGATTTGCTGTTCATGAGGAGAGGAATAAACACAGTTAAGAAGTTTTTGAAATAATAATTAGTTCCCATGTTACAAAGGGGGAGGGGGATTTGTTTCTAACAGCTGGAATAGTTGAGTCCCCCCCAATTACTTTGGCAAATAAAAATCAAATGTTCAGAGGCGCCGTGAAAATGGTGGGATACATGCATAACATCAGCCTCTCTGGCTGCAGTTCGCGCTCCCGACACAGGGGGAACCAATGTTCACAAGGAAACAGCATTTTGCAGAAAACAGGAAATGTCGGTTTCCATGGATACCATGAGCCACAAACTTGCCTGCAGTAAATTTTCGGAAAAATGGCGAAAGGGAACGACTACCATAAGTACGATTTGGCCCGGCTGCAAGTAGAAATCGAAGAAGAAAGAGAGCTAAAGTGAGTGTCCCGCTCCTTGAGAAAATAAAGCTTTTCAGACATTTGAGACTTCAATCTAACTTTGGTTGCAGAGAGATGCTCGTAGGATCTGTGTGCGACTTGCGATGTACTGTGGCAGAACTGCAAGAAAGATTACGTAGTGTTGATGGGGAAGGTAAAAACTTTGTCTCAGTACATTATTTGCGCATTGCGTAAAACATTTCAAGCATTTATTTCCTGTAATTTTGATGATATTGTGAAAAGTAAAATATTTGAAACTCATGCATGCCGCACCCTAATCAGACAATTAATTCAAAATACCTGCAAAGGTTTCCTGAGCAGTATGCTGCACAGACATGGACACCAGATTGCCATCCACTACAAGGAGGACAAGACACCAAAGATCATTTCTAAAAAAAGTTGGTTACTCACAGACATATGCAAGCATTTTCATAGAAAGTTGAGCAGATGAAAATGTGTGATAACAGCAGCCTTGAAAGGATTATTAAGCAAAATCCATTAAACAATTTGGAGGAGTTTTATAAAGAGTGGACTGAGGCAAGAGTTAATGAAGATCTACACCTGATGTCAAAATCCTTGTGTCAAACTACTCTTGTCTCTGGTTAAAAGTCCTCTGTAGGTGAATGTGAAGTTTGCATTTAATTTGAACATTGGTCTTGTTAAAGAATGGAGAGACAATTTCCATAGTTGGTGATGATTTGGTGTGCCATAGTATCAGGTTGTGTTGGTCCAATGACTGATCACCTCCATGGTTCTATGGATTGATGCAATGTATTTAATTAACCCAGTCTCAATGGTGAGTTTCCATTACCTATAAGCATTGATAATCAAAATCAAAACCTGTGAAGGCTTGAAATATTTCTCTCTATATAATGGATTCACTTTTTAAAAAGGAGGTCAAACTTATTGAACTTTTTCCCAATATACATTTTTTTCAGATGTAACTGTGGAAATGTAAGCTTTCTCTCGTGACTTGTCTGTTTTTGTTGGTTATCAGGTAATGAATGGAAGACGAGGTTTGAGACACAAGTAGAACTAAATGGACAGCTAGAGAGACAGATTTCACACATTCAGCAGAGGCTGGAGATCATCAAAGGAAACCCCGTTGGTGAGGCTTCAATTTCTTTTAGTACTACAACCCTACCGGTTGTTTTGAAACTACTTCTCACTGCTTGTTTTGAAACTACTTCTCAAAGTAAAAACCTTAGTTGCATTGCTTTTAAGGGAATTAATTATTAGAACAGACTGGGCTTAAGAAGGCTGGTGACCCGCCTCTCGCCCGGAACGTAGCTGGAGATAGGAACCAGCAACTCCCGACCCCACTAGGGATAAGAAAATGAATGGATGGATGGACATATGCAACCAGCTTATTTATTATAACATAAGGGGTTCACTTTCTTAAATGAGTGACAAAAATATTGAGATGTAACTGCACACCCTATATTCAAGTAAACCCTTTTATACGTGTGCAAAAAGTTTTAATTTTTGCTATTATTTGCCCACCTACATTTACAAGTTTACATTGTGATCAAAATAATAAACTCACACTTGCCCTTTTTTCCCCCAGATCGATTGGCTTTTATCCGATTATACGAAGACATGGGACTTGTGAGTTGACTTTTGTTTCATCTATTGGCCTTAAATTTTTTGCAAAGATTTTATTATTTTCTAAAACCTATGATCATTCTGTCCACAGAGAGTATGCAAAGAACCACACACACCAGCAGAGAGCGCTAGAGACAGAGAATGAGTTTATAGAAAACAGCAAGTGTTGTGACGTCAGCTGCTCTCCTTCCTTGTTGATATAGGCTGCGAAAACTAGAGTTTAATCACAGCTCTGTAATCATAGGATTAACGACCATGGGAGAGTAATGCAGTCTAATTACAATGCTTTAACACACACACATACACACCCGTCCATGCGACACTGAAAGGTTGCACAATAAAGCTTAACCACCCTGGTGCCTGTAAGCCTAAACACACAACTAACAGATGCTCATTAGTGTGTCCAAGAAGTGACTGTGAACAGTTAACATCAGTATAGACTGAACGGCTGAGATGAATTTGGATTATCATTAGAAATTGTGACTGAATAATTTATGAGTCTCATCCATTTTTGTACTATTGTTGTCAACATGAACTATTTGCACATTGTTTGATCGTCCTGTACAGTATTCCACCGGGTAATTGGTCTTCACCAGAATGACATAAGAGTAATTTAAACTCTTCCTCACAGGAAATGCTTAAAGAACACCTAACAATTCTGACTGAGAAGAAAACTGACCTCCATAATCAGCTGAAGAACTGCCATCTTCAAATGGAACAGGAGGAAAAGGTCTGGGCCTCATTGTTCCTGTAGACAACGAGCAGTGGGAGGGATTTATAGGCATCAGAGTGTCTGCTGGTTTACTTTTGTCATTGTGTGTTAGAAAAGAAGCTTTAGAGTTTTTATTGCCCACAAAGTAGTGATTTCAGATACAAACAAATCCTAATTAGTAAAAAATTTAGTTCTTTGTTTATTGTTCTACTAAAATAACAGGGAGGTATCAGTTAAATACAGGCTTAGCACTCAGCATTTGTGACCAGTAATCCCTAATCTGTTGCCCATTACCACTAACACATATTAAGGGTTGTATCCATGAAGTGACTGTGTGGTTTTCTATTTCTTTCACTTCTCAGGCATTTCATAAAACCAATGATGAAAGGCGGGCATATCTTACAGAAATAGCTATGGTGAGCATTTAAAAATGTCATTTCTCTTCTCTGCTGTTTCTGCAAGGAAGGTCAGAAGTTTTTATGCAGTCTCCATGTTTTATGTATTTACTGCCTGCAGTTATCTTCTGTCCGTGAGCCGCAGAGACGGCAGTACGCCAACCAGCGACAGAGGGCACCAGAGAGCAAACAGATCAGGTTTGTAAAGTCCCACCTCTGATCAACAAAATCTTTATGTTTACGAGTTGGCAGTTTTAAATTTAGGTAATTTTGTGACAGTGGATTATTCAATGGGGATATATTATGTATTTTCCACGTATCTAGTACTATCTCATAACAAAATCAACTAAGTATGTTACTATCAGTTGTACGATCAGTGGGCACCCTGTAGGAGATTGAAGGATTTCTAAAACATGTGTGAAAGAATCAAACCAACTCTCCAGGTATGTTTTTGATGAGGGAATAAGATTGTAACATATAAATATAAAAAAAATAAGTTTATTTTACATAATACCCACCATATAATACAAATGAATATGCATTAAAAGCAGTATCTTTAAATTTAATGTTAACTGATTTTAGTAATTTTTTTTTCTAGTTTTACTTTAAAATAATTTTAATTTATTTCACAGAGGAAAAGATATCCATAGGAAAGCACAAGCTGGTTCTAACAAAGGAACGGAGGAGGGATTAACAGAACGTCTGAATGAAGGCGGTGGAGGAGGAGGTGGTGATTCAACAACAGAGAGAGGAATGAAGAAGAAATCCCAAAGGGAAAGCAGGTTACCAACCCTGAAGCATCAGGGAAAACATAAACCTTAACCAAAATCTGTTCCCAGGGATATTTGCAGGGTTCTTTTATTCGGGGTAATTATCCTTGTGCATTTCTGTCAGCTTTTTGTTTAGGCTTTTATTTATTTTTTTTAAAAGTCTGATTATATAATGATTTCAATACTTTTTCAAATGTACTTATATAGAACTATGAACCATCAGAAATCAGATATTTTTGCACGCAAGAAAATATATAGGCAGATATTTCACTCTTTTACCAAGACATTTGCAAAAGTCTTTCATTGTGACTTAAGAATGACTTTATTCTGCTACTTTAGAACTCAGTAATCTTGAGCACAAACTGCTTCCAGCCAGTTAGTAGTTGGTAGGTATCTGTTGTTTTGGAACCATCTGTTCCTGAAAACGAGTTTTGCAACGTGGGTCATTCACATCAAGGACTACGACTGTCATGAAGAGCCCAAAACTTAACTTTTACTTCAATTTATTCTAATTTATACACCTGTGCTGTAGAGGAAACCCTGTTCACTTAACACGATTAGTGTTTGTTTTGTTGCCAGCTTGGTTCTAAATCCAGGAAGCAGGATGTCTGTAGAGAACTTTCAGGATAGAAAAAACTACAGTGAAAGCCATCTTCTATTCAAGACAACAAAAGAGCTGATGCAACCAGAACAAAAACAAGTTTGTTCAGAGAAAATAAACACCTTTTTTTGATGTAAAGTTAGGCTCCACGTATTAGTTTAATCTATTGTGATTCTGGTGCTGGAAGTTAATGGAATAAACTTTAATTAATTAAAAGGATTTCTCCTTTTAATTTTTCTTTTTTTTTCTCTCAACATTTTCCTTCAGTCAAGTGAGACAAAAATAAATCTGCTTTTTAGTTTCATAGACTTTTGATATAGTTAGATCTCCATTCAGCTAATAATACTTTGACCTTTCATTCTCAGGACCCTTTGAAATGTTTAAGTAGTTCCATGTTTGTCTGTTTTTTTATTTGCTTTTACTTAATTGATTAAAAATATTCTAATATTATTTCAAATGACATATTTTGTTTTTATTATTGTTTCCAAACTGACAATTCTACCCAGTTTTTGTAGAATTGTCAGAGTTCAAATTCTCAGAATAAACACATTTTAGACAAATGTATTTCATTCCTTGTTAAAGTCTTCTGTAAATTGTAAGATGACAATTTACTTTGAACTGCCTTGTTGCTGAAATGTGCTAGGCAAATAAACTTGATCAATATATTTGAGACAGTTAAAATAAAAATATATTAAAAATAAGACTGATAAAGTGCTGATACATTATCAAATGCACTTGTATCTCATAAAGTAAAATGTTGCAAAATTTTTGTAGTATTTGTATACATAAATATATTTTGAATCTGATCTAATTTGATTCTCTTTCATGCAGAAAACTGGGTGAAATGCGAGTATAAGGTTTGAAACTGGTGAATTTAGCTGCTACATGTTAGGAGCCTGCTGATTTTTACATTTCTTTTACAATATTTTTTTTAAATACCACCTACTTCACACATTACGTAAAGAGAACCATATCCACCAATCACTCTGTGAAGTTGAAACACAGAGTAAGCAGTCGCCCCCATCCTACCCACTGACCATCTTTATATGTGTGGGTGTTAAGACAAAAAACAACTTTCCCTGTGAGATGAAGTAGTGTTCTGTAAAACTGCCAGAACCGTTTTCACAACTTTGTGTTTGAGAAGAAGTGTTAGGGATCATTTGAATTTTCACATTGAATAAAAAGGTGATACAGCAAAGAGCTAAATTAACTCATAATTATTGTATTTTGTTCTTCAAAAATGTATTAATTCCATTAAACTTTTTGATGTTTTATTTTAAGCCAGAGACGTCGGATCTGAATATTTGGTTGTGACAGATTATTTTTACATTTGCTATGTCTTGACATTCCAAGATCCATGATGATTTTAGGAGTGGAAATGATAAACCTGTATAGGACTTTATCAAATCCAGAAGACCCCACGGCACTTCATCCCACATTTTAGTCATTCATCCATTCACACACTGATGATGACTGGCTACTAGTAGCCACAGTTGCTCTGGGGCACCACCAGCAGTCAAAGTGGGTGAAGAGTCTTGCCAAAGGACAGACTGGGTTTGAAACCGACATGCTGTCATTTTTGGAAAAAGTCAACACTACATTTGTTAAAAGCAACCCTAAGTGATGTCACAAACCCAACACTGAAAACAATTTCATTTACTGTGCTCCATCTCTGGTCTTCATTTTTAGTCAGTGTGCCTCATGCTGTGTGCACCCTGCTTCCTCAAGATTAATTTAGACAAGAGCACCTTGTCGGGCCTCAGTTTGTGACGCACACTGTCTCCCCGTGAGTTTGTCCCCAAAAAGAGAAGACTGTACACGGCCAAATACATTTTCGGGGGAAAGGGGAAGGGTCCCAATCAAAGAATCCCCAGGACATATTATTCAATCACTGTACTTAAATGGCATGATTGGTTTATTTATCTTATAAATATGAAGATGTATAATATTTTTTTTGAATGAACAGACTTGTGACCTTCATAACAGAAATGACAAATGAGGACATCTGACTTCAGGTATTAATTGTTTAAAGAAGCTTTTGAATGTCTGACTGGCTGCATCGTTTAGTCTCGTGCAGCACACATACAGTATAGGGTGTGACAGGATGTTCGTCCGAATCCAGTGAATGAGCTCATCTCTGGAGGCTTTCATGTAGGTCAGTTGCTTCTATCTTTTCCTACTCAATGAGACTTTTACTGCTATGTCAGGAAAATATTAGATATGTCAACTACATCTCTCACCTCTGAGCTTTTTCCAAAAATTTTAGTGATAGTGTTAAAGCAGAAGCATGCTGTCACATATATCCAACAGTCTCCGGATTTGCAGATCAACACAGTAAATACATAAAATATAGAAAAATATTGGGCATTTAACAACAATTTTCTGTCTATTGTTTTGTATTGATAAGTATTGTTCAATAACAGACTAAATTCTATCAACATTAACAACTTTTTCAATTGTTAGGTTGGATTTTAAAACAATTTTCACTGTATAAATGGGATCTTTGTGTAGCCGGGGCATTATGTCCATTATGCACTCTTCCGGTTGCCCATATAAGTAAGACGCTGTTTTAGCGCAGCTGATTCATTACGGAGGCAAGCAATTGGTATTTACATTTAAAAGCGGGTAGATCGCTGAGAGGGTGAGAGTCCAGGCTGATTTCTCTGCAGGTATGGTTAACATGAAGTGTGCGCTGGGTTGAGAATTATTTCTGATGGCTCCATTTTATTGCAGGAAACCTCCTCTTGGAGAGGATATACAGAGTTCTGCTAGCTTTTAGCGAAGTTAAAGGCAGTTCATTATTATGTGGTTATTTAAAATATCTGTTTAATTTTATTCTCTGTTGTGTGCAGGTTGGCCTGCTACTGTTTCAGTTTTAGTTTGTTTTGGTTATTTATGGATTAAACTTTTTATTCTTTTGGGAGTTTTTATTGTTCAGCCCTCCAGGCTCGCTTGTAGATAACCTGTGCTGTCCCTGGTTCCAAGCTGTTTTATCTAGATTGAGGAGACTAGTGGGAGGGGAGTTTCTTGTTTTGTGTTATTCACCAGGAGTTTCTCTTTTGTTGTGCGAGTGTTTTTTTGTTTGGAACACCAGTTACATTTGTTTTTTTTAATTATTATTTCTCCCCCAAGCAGTCTGATTTTATTTAATCAAAGTAACTGGTCATCAGCGGTAAGGTTTCCAGGGCCAGCATAGATTTAGGACTTTAAAGTGGTTGATATTGTACAATAAAAATGAATTGACTATTTATGCCTAGCATTATTGTGATTAAACAAACTGTGGTTAATTTGCATCAGTGCCTCTGATCATTTTCTTTACAAACTTATGTGTGATCTGGTAAAAAGACAACACCAGAGGATTTAAGGTTTTTCACACATAACTAAGGTGGTAACCGAGGTCACATTTGGTTGAAAACTGTATTTTGTAATTTATTTATTAGAAAATGTATTTGTTTAATTGGACACAGTTTTTGTCAGAGTATGCTTTTGACTGTGAAAATAAGTGATGTGACTCCCCCACGCAAACCCCCCACCCCATCCATCGTCCTCGGGGCTGGCAAGCGAGGGGGATACGATCAGATGCATCCCCTTCCACGAGTGTGAAGTGTGGGTTCGCATGGAAATGAGGGGGCGCGGGTGCCGAATGGAAATCACGACTGAGTGACGTGAAGATGTGGGAGTGGGGAGGAGAGAGAGAGAAAAAGAAAGAGAAAGGGGGTGGCTGGAAGAGAGAATGGGAGGGTAAGCAGCTGCTACCCAGTCAATTTTCAAAGCACTGCCTCTTGATTATACACACGTTTTGTTTTGCCTGGCGGAGCACATCAACAAAGGACACTGCCACCGTCCAAACTGCGAAGAACCAACTGAACTCCAGTGTTTGCTTTCGCATCTGCCTAGAAGGAGTGCATTAGTTCAGACTGGAGGTCACAGTGACAGAAGCGTTAATTGCTCGCGTTGGTAAGTCTGTCAGTGCGCAAAAGTAATTAGTCATTTCTCTGCATTAAATAACTTTCCCATACTTTGCTTCAAGTTGTATAATCGTGATCTAAACATGCTGTTGGTTTTAGTCGGTGCATGGTGTTGTGGATAATGTGATTTAGGAGATGGATGAGGCTGATGTTTGTCCTGCTGAGTGCGCAGCTTCTGAGTATTTATTAATATTAATAAGTTAAATCGATTCGTGACTGTCGCTCTTCATCCAACTCAGACGCACCCACAGACCCACGGGGATGGACGTCATGAAGCACCCTGTCCACTCCCTGCTTAACAGCACTTAATCCGTCATTAGGGGGTTATTTTGAGACAGCGCACCGGCGGCACACACCGGCTGGCTGCTCAGTTCGCCTCTTCTGGTTTTACTTCGCAGCCTTTGTTGTTTGTTTTTATTTCCCCAATTCCTCTGCAGTGAAAAGTTTTCATCACAGCCCTCTTCCCTCTCCCCCCTTTTTTCGTCCCCCCCAGACAGTACAGCGGTACTCATCAGCTTAGGCAGCGAAATAGAGATGGAGCATTTCGACGACCGGGACAAAGGTCAGAGGCACGGCCGGTCCAACGCTAAGATGAACGGGGTGCCTAGCCCCACACACAGCGCCCACTGCAGCCTGTACCGGACCAGGACCTTGAAGACTCTGAGTGCCGAGAAGAGGGCCAAGAAAGTTCGCTTCTACCGCAACGGGGACCGCTACTTCAACGGGATCGTGTACGCCATCTCCTCAGATAGGTTCCGGACCTTTGACGCACTGCTAGCCGACCTGACCCGCTCTTTGTCTGACAACGTCAACTTGCCCCAGGGGGTCCGGACTATCTACACCCTGGATGGCAAGAAGATCGCTAGTATCGATCTGCTGGTTGAAGGTAATGATGTTTTATTGCACTTTCAGAGCTGGCACATGATTTAATAGGGCTCCCTAAACATGACAATTATCAACATAAACTCTTCAGAATAAAGTGTTCTAGAATGTCAAAGTTCAGTTTCTGAGATGTTTCTTTCCTGATTTTGCTTGCATTTCATTTATTTGAATGGAGCAAGCTCACATTCGCTACAGAAAATATTATGTTAATTAATGAAACTCAGCAGATAATGCTTTGCATCTGACGAGCTGAAAAAATATTCATATAAATTCTTAATCGCTATTATTAAATATGACTTAAATTACTGTATCAAACGTAAACATTTTTAGATATAGTTCACTTATTTATTTAAATGAATAATCTAATAATAATTTTCTAAAATGTCATTTTCATTTATATAAAATCATTAAAAAAGTCAATTTGCTATGTGACAAACAATAGAGAGAACCTGAAGTTGCCTAATTCTTCATAAACTTGAATACAAATTATAAAAACAAAAACACAAAAAACTTCTGAGCTCAAAAATGTGTCAAATCTACTCTTTCTCTAGGGCCTCAAGTTGTGGTTGAGTTTGTGTATGCCTCAGGATGCCTCTGCATCTGTTTGGGAGTCAGTTTTACACTAAAGAATCTAAAACATCTCTCATCCTTTCTTAAGGAGCAAACTCTTCATGACCGGTGAGCCTCCAAGAAATCTGATCTTGCCCAGCTCCCTTTCCTGATAAACTTTAGATGAGGCTAACGTAACGGGGACATTTACTTAGACGTCCCACCTTTGGATTAGACACGAATTCAATGGGATTTTCAATGTATAAAAACCTGAGTAAAAATGCAGCTGTTTCACATTATTTGGGCTAGTACATAAAATAAAGAAGATCTTGTTATTTGGCCTATTTCTTGTTATTTTTGATGCATTGGCTAAAATACTGACAGTGACTAAACGGTGGCTTATTGCAATATTAAAGCATTTTGCTATTCTGCACACTACTAGGTCATTCTTTGTTGAAAAATTAGAATTTACCCATTGGTATAAATGAGTTTTTTTGTGGGCTGTGCTCCATAAAAAATCAGTTCAAACCAAAGTATGTCATGCATTTGATGTCCATATGTCCAAACAGATGTACCCTTTGTTTCATGTCAGATTAGTTCTCTCTGGATAATTTCTCTTTTATGGCTGTCAATGCTAAAATGTCAGGAGAACTAATAAGAAGAACTATAAGTTGTTAAAATGAAACTCAATTTTTCATGTTTCATCTTTTTCCAAATGTTTGTCTCTTTCACAGGTGAAAGCTATGTCTGCAGCTCCATAGAGGCCTACAAAAAGCTGGATTACACAAAAAACGTAAACCCCAACTGGTCAGTGAATGTCAAGGCCTCGTCCTCTTCATCACGTGGGCCTCCGTCCCTGAGCTGTGCCAAAGCTTGTGCCTCAGACGGCCGAGAAGGCAAGGACTTCATCCGTCCAAAGCTAGTAACGGTGGTTCGAAGTGGAGTTAAGCCCCGCAAAGCCGTGAGGATCCTGCTGAATAAGAAAACAGCCCACTCCTATGAGCAGGTTCTGACCGATATCACTGATGCCATCAAGCTCGACTCTGGGGTGGTGAAGAAAATCTACACATTGGAGGGCAAACTGGTGAGTTTGCAGTATTAAAAGATTAATACGCTAGTCCTAATATTCCTTGTGCATTGCACTCAGCTTAAACACTGAGCTGCTGTTTAAGCATATCCTGCTAATAAATATTACTTGGTGAGATATATCATCTAGAGATGACAATGAACTTTGAACTTTGACTTTATTGTCCCTTCGACAAATTCTTTTTCACGTGTTTAACAGAGAAGACAGTACAACTAGAAGTTCTTTGAGTAAATGGACGAAGTTCTGTTCTAGTGAAATTGTGGGAAAAGCTTGTGTTAAGTTTTGTCTAGTTTGCAATAAAGACCTTGTTGACAAAGCAGCAGGTTAGGTTTTGCTGATTGTCGGGCTGATGATGTCATGTATGTAGAGAGTGTTTTACAATGGACCAAGCACACAGCCTTGTGGTGCTCCAATATTCATGGTCAGACCAGGAGATGTGGTTGAATCCACTTGTACTTCGTATAGTTAGTTTCTCTCTACCCTAACTGCCAATTGTAATTTGTGTACAGGCTTTTCTGATATTGTGTTTAATTATTTTTATGATGTCAGAACAGAAAACATTTTTTGTTTGCAGCATCATTAGCTCTCAGTGTTTGATAAACAGTTCATTGCATTAGTTTTTTAATATCTCTATTTTAACTTTTTATGCAATTTTGCTCTGTTAATGCTTTGTTATTCTTTCTGCCATTCATTTGATGTATTTTTAAGCACTTTGGATTGCCTTGTGTATAAGTGGTGATCTATAAATAAACTTGCCTTGTATTGTATAGGGACAGGTTGGCTATGTTGTATTTTTAGACAAGGTTTGCTGAGTGGTGAGCTGATGCTGTTGTTTTTATAGAATGCGTTTAGGAATGGATTAAACACAGACAGTGGTGCTGATGGTGAAGACAGCAGACGGGGTTGAGCGCATCCACACTTCTTGCTGTCTGTTTGCTTAGGAAATTGTGTAAAAAATGGGTGGATGATAAGGTGGTGGAATACCAGTTGCTACTGAGTTGAGTTAAAGGCAAGACAGAAGTCCACAAGATGTGTTCAGGAGAAATTCTGTTAGAATTATTCACCTTTATGCGCTTTTAAATTTTGGAGGCATCATTGGTTTGCTGTTTGAACTGACAATGGGGCTAAAAACTGAAACAGTAAAGTTTTAAACTGCTTTTTGATTCTTCACTGGAGGTTTTTGCATATCTTATCTGCAGAAAGAGTTAGTTCACGGGCTGCTGCTTGAAGAGCGGAATTAAGACTTCAGAATGTCTAAATATTTAATGAGTACTCTTTCATTTTTCATTCCACACCTCCAATTTTATGGATACATCTAAATTTACAGTTAGAGCTATGAACAGAAAGAGTGACGAGGAGGTCACGTTGAAAGAAATCCATGAATGGAGTCGCTCCCACGCTGCAGCGATGTGTGATTTGTGCAGATCATTGTCTCTAAACACAAAAATAAATCAGCGTCGAAAAAATAGTCCACCCACCAATTCAGCTCCTACTCTCTCAGAACGATACACATTTTCCTTACTGCATTGCTAAAATGAGGACTGGGTCTGCACTGCAGCTGAATCATGTCAAACAAGCCTTCTTTCAGGCACATGTTGATGTTTGTGTGTATTCATAAGCAAAGAAAGAACACTTTGTGTCCTCCAGCATGTTGCCGTTTTATTTTTCATATTTTTTTCCTGTTTGGATTCATGCCACCTGTCTCATGCATCACCATTTTTTCTCTGTATTTTTGTCTGCTCCCCATTTCTCTGTCTGCCTCTGTTTAGGTGATGCTGAAGCTCTAAGTTACTGAATTCAATGACACTGAGCTGCTGTCATCCTGTCAGCAGCGTTATTCTCTGTTGGGCTTCTTGACATTTTGTCAAGAATTGTTGTTTGGAAAGAATTGGGATGTAAATGACCAATTAGTGAATCATGCTCATGGAAATGTTCTTTGCTCTAGGATCTTTTTATGCTCAGTAACGCTTTTAGTAAGCTCTTATTTTCATGTCATTTCATCTCTGTCTGTTTAATGTTGCATTGTTAGCTCAGCAGGATCCTGACTCCAATTAGATTCTAGTACCAGCCAATGAAATCTGAGGATCAGGTTTTCCTAGAGAAACCTTCTGTTGGGGATTAAACTCGCCACATTTGCATAATACCCACTAACGAGCAGTTTTCTTGGAGATTACACAATAAGTACTACTGTTGCTGCGTTCATCCCTCTGTGATTGGAAAGGAGGCTGTTTTGGTGTGCTATTTTTAGACATGGTATTGATTGAACATGTAGGCATGGTAACAGACTCACTGCTAAATTGGCAGGGCTGGGCTGAGTTCAAATCCAGCTCCTCATTTTTATCTTCTATGTTTGGCCTCTGGTTGCTGCTTGACGCAGTTTGGAAAACTGGAAAGTGGGTTGTGGGAGACAAAATTAAACGCAGGATTTGAATTGATGAATGAACTGTTCCAAAACTTATTTCCAAGTCATTTCTCTACACAAAAAAAATCTTGCAGAAGACCTGAATACTATAGAGCAAACTCATTAAATGTGGTTCTGCATGTATGTTAGTCAAGTATAAGTATCGGGATGACTTTGCTTTAAAAGCTAAATGAAATGTGTGTCTAGGTTTGTGCAACCACAAGCATATTTATGAGAATGTGTTTCTCTATGTATGGACTTCTTTCATGAGCTGAACCACGTCAGTCAGTGAGCTTGCACAAAAGTAGGTTTCTGGGCCTGTCTGCCAATAACGTCGAGTCCCAACAGAACTCCAAAGGAGCTTGAGCCTCTTACTTTCATTAACCCTGTAATGAGGCCAGAAACGGAGGGCATCAGGTTTGCATGCACTCTGTTATACAGGGATTGCTATGTGTTTTGGCTGTGGTGCATCTTTCAGGTATATTTTTGTATTTGTTTAAAGTTGATGTTCGTCATTCTTATTTCACGTGCAATCATTCTGTCAGTGCCACCTTGCTGTTAGGATTGTAGAGTGGCACAGCAATAAATCACTTACAGTGGCTCTAGTTGGCTGTATGACATGAAGCTATGACCATACTCACACTTTCCAAAAACAAACCCTCTATTTTAACTGTGATGTTGCTTTATTTGTTTTTTCACATTTTGTTTGATAAGACACGGCATGTGGTGCTTCAAGAATTCAAACTCCCTGAAACATTTTCTATCATTTTTATTTAACAATTACAAACTTAAAGGTGTCTTTTATTCACATTAAAATGTCAAAAGTGAATTTAATTGGAATTTGCAACTGAATACTTTCAGATGTCACCGAATTAATGAATTGAACCAATTAGTGAGCAAATATGGAGACTTAAGAACACCCCTGAGAGATCAGGGATAATGTTGTGGAGAAGTATAAAGTAAATTTGGGCATAAAACAATATCCACAACTCTGAATATCTCCAGTAAAATGATGACCAATGTCATACAACTAGAGCTACAATGGACAAAATTTTCAGTTTTTACATGTGTGAAGCCAGTGAAAACATACCCTAAAAACTTATGATTAAAAAGGTGGTTCTAAAAAGTACTGACATGGCAAGGGCAAAATGCAAAGGCACGTCACAGCTTTTAGGTTATTCTTATTTCTTTTTTTCATGCAATCCCAAGATGCAATCCCAACAAAATACATTAATGTTTATAGTTGTAGAATGAAAACATCTGAACAAGTTCAAGGGGCGTGAATACATTTGATCAGCACTGTGTAACACAGAGACTTACTCACAGAGCAAGTCTCTGTGAGTATCTGATACACTGTGGCACCTCCTCTCTTCTGTGGAGGTGGAGGTACATTTGTATATCTACGTGTAATACGAGAATCTTGCTTCAGGAGCCGAGATCCGATTCCACCTCCAATACTAAACCCATCTGGTTTAGATTCTTCCCCTACTTTTTGTGTAAGCGCAGCCTAACTATTTTGATCTTTGTTTTGCTTGTTTTTTCTAAAAATGTAATCTAGTTGCTAAGGAACTGGTTTACATACTGTTGAATTATCACAGTAGCACACCGGCATGATGTGGTCTGCACAGAATGATCATGACAATAGACGACCCGTAAGTGGCGTAGGGCACGGACGTGGCCGGGATATTAATACTTCTTAGATCTGTTTACACACACAGGCACTATGGCAGACCCCACCTGCTGCCTCCTCCAGCATTTGTATGCCTCATGCATATTCAATGTGTAACACACATCTTTCAATGCATTCATTTAGATTTTGCCCAAAAAAGCATGAAGTGATGCCATAGTTTTATCTCCAGCACATCTTGGGCAACTGTCTTAGTCTTTATAGTATAAAGAAGAAAACATCTAAATGCAAATTCATACAAATGCAAATAAATATGCCTACATTCCTTAATAGTTTTATATATTCTGAAAGTTTAAGGGATTAATTAATGTTTTTTTTCTATGATAAATGTATGTGATCATAAAAAGGCAGAATACATTGTGGATAAGCAAAATGTCTTGGAACAAAGTCTATTGGTTCAGATTTTAGCAGTGTTGACCAATCACAACTTAGTTCACTTCGAGTAAATTTGAATAGTTTGTCAAACTTGTCCAATGGTAACATCTCTCTACATAAGCCTTAATAACTTTATAGAATTTGAATCAATTTAATAATTCCTTCAATATTCCTCAAATATGCACTGTAATTGTAATATAACCAATTTTTTGCATCTTGTGTTAGTTGACAATGCTAAATACTGACTCTAATCCACTGATTATGCTGACCATGTTAATTCTTTATATGATTTAAATAGTCCACTGCTATTACCAAGGATACATTTCTGCTATGTATTGTCCTGCACATTAAATGACCCAGTTTCAATGCAGGTGTTATGTGGGAGAGAAATGAGGAAGAGCAACTTGTTCACAATCTGCAGTGCAGCTCTCAGTTCTTAAACTGCATTGCTGGCATCATTCTCTCCTTGCTGGCAAGGCCATGCAGCCTTTATTTCCCTTCTCTGGTTTCTTTGCATTCTGATAGTTTTTAATC